AGGAATCGGGGTGTGTAAGATGGACAACTGTGCCCTTCTTCTCCCCCTAAGGAAAATAAGAGCTTTAGCACTATTTTGAATGTGCGGGCTGATGCTGTCATTTCTTTTCCTCTTTTCAAGCAGAAACCCATGCCTTGGCTAGCCCTGTTTATATATCACTGTCAAAGTGCAGGCCTAAAGCACCCAAGAGAAGCCATAGCTCTTTGGAAGTGTACCCAGCCTCAAAAGCTTGGCCCAGAGCTTGTGAGGAGTAGCTGCATTTTCTATTTGTGCTGCAGACCTACATGGCCTTTGGCACATTGTGTGGGCCCACCTAAATGTATTCTAGGCAGTCAGACTGCAGCAGGACAATCATCCAATACTCAGAAGCCATACAGAACAACCTGCAGTGTGCTGTCATCTGCTGGGACTGAGCAGATAGTGGCATCCAACGTAGCTATGAGATATCAGGGTATCTCTGCCTGACATTGTGGTCTTTCCAGTCAAACAGGACCTTGCTTGGTCTGCCCCTCAGATTGTAAGTCCACAGTAGAAAATGCTGCTCTAACCCAGTGGAAAATAAATAAATAAGCAAACAAATAAATAAATAAATCTGTTTTCAGACAAGTTTCTTGAGTGAATTTACAGGAGTCCCTCCCAGGCAGCTATGGTAGCGTAACTGGAGCAGGTAGGGGCTATGCCGGCATGAGCAGCCTCTGGTTGCAAGAGAGATAGGAGGTCCTGGTATTTACACTGCTGGTTTAGCTACAGCCTCAGTAGCCCATCCTCAGCTGTGGGAATATTAGCATTTGGTATCATGTCCTACAGCAGCATAAACCACAGAAGTATCTTGGAAGAAGGACAGATCAGGGAAGAATTCGGAGGCAAATACACATTTAAGACCACCTTCTTTGTTTCTTTAATGTACAGTTGCTACCAGGAGTACTGACTATAATGTCAAGTAAAACACAAATTATTGTCCTGCTTCTAGGAAGCACAGAATTAACCCTGTGACACTGCAAGCTGTAACAGCCATGGTATTCTCTGAAAATGAATGCGATGTAAAACATATGACACTGCGGTAACAGTGCCTGCATGCAATCACCCACAATAAAGCAAACTGTTCTGTGTATTGTTTTCACTTTATGAAACATATGTGACATGTCAGAACAAAGAAATTGAATGCGTATTTTTAAATAAGCACTATATATATCTTAGTGTTCTCCATGATTTTCTTCCAGTATTAATGACAAGACTTGCTCAAACTCATCAGTGAGGTATACAATAGAAAAGCCCGTTACAGTAAATACAAACATTTAAGTTTACCAGTTTCACCCCAAGAGATACCATGATACTACTAGAAAATTATTAATATTTTTTTAAAATACTGATGACTAGCATGTACTAGGCAGCACGCAGCTGAACTTTGAAAAGGTACATGTCTAAGTTTGACTGCTGGAAGCCTCCAGAGAAACTCAGTATGGTTGATCTGACATTGATAGGGGTCTGTGTGCATAAACCATGCCAGCAGATGCTAAATATTTATTATTTGTTTCATGCCTTGCATTCTTTAAAAATTTCATTGTTTTTAAAGTCTGAGTTCCTTGTCCTAAAACACTTACTAATTACACTGAATAGATTGATTGTAATCTCAAAAATATTGTGTCTCAAATATATTCCGGAACTGAGTATTGCAGGCATTGTTATGAATATTTTCCTCAATCTCCTCCGTAGAGTTTATAGATAATTGTGTTTATACAGTCAAGCTTTAAGTTTGAAGCTCACAACGCTGTAAGGAAAGAAAAGGCTATAAGATGGTATGTGAATTGGTACCTACAACACAGTGTTTGTGAGTATGTCTAGGACAGTCGCACTGCTATAGCTATAATTACTCATTCCGTGAGCCTCACACTTGAACTCACAACTTCTCTGTGCAATAGGACAAAAATGCAAGTATATAAATATGTCAGGAGCTGCTAACTTGTTCATTAAACCAGAAGAAATGAGAAGGTAGTGGGTAATTTTTCAACATAAAATGTGATAATTAAAAAATAAATCCTATTAAAGAGAAAAATAACACAAGGCATTAAACTGCAACTAGTTGTATGACAGTGGTAAATAAGAAGGAAAATGCTTACCTATTTTCATTCATATTGCAGTGATTTGCTGTTGTGATGCTGTGGGCAGAGGCAGCTAATCGTGAAGAACTCTCTCGCTCTAAGTGAGCCTTCTTGATGTCTCTGCACTCTTCCTCATTCTCACACTGAATGAAGAGAAAAATAATAACCTTGTAGGTTTTGGATTTACTACACATCCAAAAGTATTTCAACAAGTCAGAGGCTGGTGTTTTCCGGTGTATTGGTATGAATGATACGGAATTCTTTGATCATATAATTAATACTGATCAGAGATGATTGGTACATGTCTTAATAAAATAAAATCTGAAGAGGCAGTGTGTGAACAAAGGAGTAGAATATAAAACCTGAATTGTTTCCACCACTTCTGCACTTGCACCTTGGGATACTTTTTCTTTGTATTTCCCTCTTTGCTTATCTTCCATGCACTTTCCTCTTGCCTAGTCCTCAAGCTTACATGTCTTTTGTCTCTCCCACTAATTTCTTGGTATCAGTGACTGTGCCTATACTAGTAAACGCAAGAGATCTGCAACTGGTCCTGTGGCCAACTGGCATGGCACAGCAGGCACCCATGCACTCATCTCGCTCCTCCTTCAAGCCAGGGTATGCCACATTCAGATTGCTTTTTGGAAAGGCACCTTAGTCTGGTCCTGAGCAAGGGCCTGTTACTGTCTGGAAGAACAGAATTTAACCCAGGTCAAAACCATGTAAGCAAGCACATTAACAGTTAAACAAAACTGGTGACTGTATGCCACTGCTTGGGACTGCATCCTGGCCCTACTGGGACTGCAGCCGGGCTCTACCTGGCCTACTAGTGAACATAACCAATGTTTCCTGACACTGTTTAATTTCCTGTTATACCCCTTAGCACCATAAACTCCCAAAGGCTTTCCCAATCTCCTGCAAAGTCCACATTCTTTTCCACTTCTAACACTTCCCCAATTTCCAGTGGTGCCTGAGTTTTACTTGTGATTTGTTGATTCTGCTGCATATACTGCATTGCTGCATGGCAACAACATTTTCCGTGTTATCCACTGCCACTGTGGCTGCTGGTACAGGATTAACGTTGTGGCTTACACTCCACAGTGAAGATCTTCTTACACCTCAGTGCTTAACTATCCTTCTCTGTCTCTAATTTGCCCTTTTTCTTGAGATTACGACAGAGGTGGAAATGATAAGGATCTCTTTTTGATTTTGCAGTTATGCTTGATAATCTGTTCTTATTAGTTTTATTCATAAAGTCCTTTGGGAAGATGGATCACACAATTGTGCATAGCAGCTGTCCCATTGAGGGTAAGCAGCTCCTGGTACTCCAGGAATGCTTCGTATTCATTATATCACTAAACCCACCACCAACAGCAGTGCTTTAAGACAGAAGAGTAAAAGACAGTATGTGTCACAGGAAGTCAGATTAAGCATTTCTAGAATGACTGCTTTTATTTTGCTCTTCCATTGTGTCCTCCCGTTTTCTTCTGGGTCTACAGCCTGGCACTATCACACCAGCATCTCTTACAGCCTAAACCAGAAATATTTTGGTTTTGCCACTCCTTCTTGACATGTTTCCCACCATTCTGTACTGTGCAATTACTTCCATGCTACTTCCTAAAGAAAATGCAGATAAACACATCTCAGAGCTTATCAGAGCTCTCTGTTATGGCTCTACAGGTGGCCAGAACAGGGTTACCACCTTTCAGATACTAAAAAAAAAGCAAAAAATGAAGAAAAAAAAAAAAAGATAAAAAAAAGGAAACACTTCTTTAAGTAAACAGTCCTAAAAACCATACAGGTCAATTTGCACATGTACAGTAGCTCAGAGGGTGACTGATGACTGCACAGTAAAACTGTCCAGAAATTGGGAAGTTCCTGATTCCAGTTCAAAGCGACTTTTGGGGTCAGATCAGTACAAATGGACCCAAAAGCCCCCTCCGTGGACAGCTGTGGCCATGGAGTGGAGGGAGCTTTTCACCACTTAAATGCTCAGTTTTGGAGAGAAGCCTCAGGAGAAAAAGCTATACTAGCAAAGATGCAGTGTCTCCGCTAAAGCGTGGAAAGCCGTGTGCCAGCAGCAAACGCCATCTCCAAGGGGCTGTGATCCCTCGTGGCCACCTTCTGAGATGGCACCTCCTCAAGGGCTTGGCCAGTTCTTCTGCAGCGAGCAGGGACAAATCCCAGCTCTCAACCGCCAGCCCGGAGAAGACACCACCACTGAGCACTGGATGTGGGCACAGGCGATGCTTGCCTCTGATTTGCCAGAGGCTCCCCTACCCACCCCGATCGGTCCCCTTGAAGCTCACCTTGCGTTTCCTTCTAGATTTCGGTAAACCCTTCTCTGCGGGGGGGTCAGCACTACTACCCTGCGGGAGGCTGGCCGCCTGGTTTGCTCCGGCGCTCATGGCCAGCGGCTCTTCAGGCAAACGCTCTGGAATCCTGGACAAAAGAGCCAAGTCAATGTTGACCCACAGTGACTTTACCTCATCACTGTCTTTCAGAGGAGACAGGAGCTCATTCCTACCGAAAGGAACCAGGGTGTAAAACTGGTCCTCCAGCTCCTTTGCTATTTCACTACTAGTCCTGGCATTAATGGAGCCAAAGGCACTGCAGCC